TCCTTGAGGTGGAGATGCAGCTAACCTGGGTATTCTGCCAGGAACAAGCCCAGGTCTGGCAGGGGAGGTGGGGCAATGGAGTGGGTGTCTGAGCAGGGGATGATTACCTGATTCCCACTCCGTGGCCAGGCTGAGATTAGCTGGCAGACTGTGCCTATTTGGAGAGAGTGAGTGAGCCTACAACAGTGCCTGCTATCCCTGCCATGGCTCCCTATGGGCACAAAGAACTTCTGGGACAGCTGTCTGTGGGATATGTGCCTGGGACTGCCTGGGGGCACCCTTGAGATCCTTGGGTGGGTCCGTAGAGGCTGCAGGGGCACTCCGTCCCTCACTGCCCCAACAAAGGCCCATTTCTGGGCCTGAGAGCGGTGTCAGTGTCTGAGGACTTGCATGTGCGTTTGTGGGCTGTGTCCACAGGGTGCCCGGCTTCGTGCCCGCGCCCTTACCGTCCTCGGTGGGCACGTAGAGGTTGAGGTACAGGCAGTCCTCGCTCTGGTTCTGCACGTAGGTGGCGGCCGCCTCCAAGTTGTCGGTGAACCACACAGGCAGCATGATGGCGGGCAGCGCCCCGTGCAGGTTCTGCGGGCAGGCGGGCGGCAGGGTGGTGGCGTTGCGCACGCCGGGCCACGAGGCGGGCGCCTCAGGCGGCTGGAAGCGGCGGGCGCCCAGGGGCGGCGTGGCGTAGGGCACGCCCAAGAACTGCACGACGGGGCCCAGGATCTCGTTGTTGAGCTCGCGCCGCACACCGCGCACTCGCCCGTAGGCCGTGTTCACCACCGGGAAGCGCTCCTCCCCGAGGCTGCCGAGGCCCAGGCCTGGGCCGCCCGGGGCGCCGCCGCCGGGCCCCCCTCCCCCCCGTTGAGCCCCCGCCAGCCCCACCAGACACAGCGCCAGGAGCCACATGCTGATCGGGGGACCCCCCCTCCCTCCCCGGGACCCCCCCCCTCGGAGAGAGAGAGAAGGGGGGGGGAGAGGGAGGGAGGCCCCCCTCGCCCCAGGAGGGAGGAGGGGGTGGGGGAAAGAAGGGAGGAGGGGGGTGGGGAGGGACCTGGGTTAGACTGGACAGAGAAGAGGTCTGTTCCTCTCCATGGAGGGGGCACGGGGTGGGGAAGGGGAAGGAGGTGGGAGAAGGTGAAGGCAGGCCCGACCTGCGGGAGATGGAGCGAGAGGGACAGGGCGGCAGGATACAGACAGACGGACAGACAGAAAAATACAGAGGAGAGGCGGAAGAGGGGAAGGGAAATTGGATGGGGCAGACAGAAAGGAACGGGGAAACAGAAGAGACAAGTGGTTAGTGACTTGGAATTCAGACCAAGTTGCCCCCTTCTTCCACCCACAGGCCCCCTGGCACCTCCCCACTCCCACCCAGCAGCCCTTCTCCCCTCAGCAGGCGCCCTGGCTGGGGGTGGGGTCCAGATGTGGTTAAAGTCCAGGACCCAGCCTGAGAAGAGGAGGGTCAGCTCCCCAGACCCAGCATGCCCTCTTCCAGCTGAGGTATCCCTCCCAGGCAGGCTCTCCTCAGGGACTCAGGAGTCCCAGTTCCCACCTCCCTGAGAGGGAACAAAGTAGACAAGGAAGAGAAAATAAAAATACCAAGTCATTAATTAGCAGGAAGTGGCAGGTTTGTTTATACCTGTTAATTACTTCTGAGCTGTAATTTCATGGCGCTGAACCCCCTCCCCGGGCCAGACTCAGGCCTTTCATGGGACTGCACAAACCCAGCACCTTATCCCTGCTTCAGCACACCATTCGCTAAGGATATGTGCTGCCCAGGACCCCTATCTCTCCAGGCTCTCTCCATGTCTTCCCTCAGAAGTTGGGGTGCCTTGACGCTGGGATTAGAGTAGGGAGGGGACGCTGGAGGGGCAAATCCAGGTACAGATGCGTGATCCTGCAGCCGGTTGCCGGGTGACGGGATGCTGCCCTGCAATGTTACCTCGGCAACGGGCTGCAGCTTTAACCCTGGAGGGGGGGTCTGGAGGAAGACGAAAAGGGGCTGGCTTGGTTTGGGGGTCCACTCAGGGCATGAGGGGAAGGGCAGAGGCGTGAGACAAGATGCAAGAGTTCCCCCCAACCTTAGCATAAAGGAAGAAGTTTATATGTTGAGAGGAGGGGGAGATTGGGGGAACCAAGAACCCTAAAAGCCCTGCCTCTTGCCCCCTGTTGGCCAATCAGAGTCTAGCCTTAGTGACCAGGCTTCTGGCTGGGGAGAGGGGTGGTGAGGTGGGCTTGAGGAGACGTCACAGGAGCCTACTGACTATCCCCCTCCAGCAGTCTCAAGCAGCCTTGGACCCCACCACCTCTTCATCTTTGCAAGCTATTGTGACCCATGTCCTGGGGGCAACCCTTAGCTTTCTTCTCTTCCCATCCCATCCTATCCATTCACCCACCCTTCTCCTTGCTGCCCCTCCCCCCACCTCAGGTTGCTGCTCTGATGCTTGGGTGCTCAGGGCAGCAGGGGCCTGGCAAGGGGAAAGATCAGACCAGAGGGGCAGGCACCCAGGTCATTTTGGCAAGCCCCCCCCTGCCCCCCCACCAGCAGCCAGAGCTGTTTGCTGACGCGGAGTTTTCAGAGCCAGGCGCCAGCCAACGGGTGGCTCTCTGCAGGTGTCAATTTATTCCAGAGATGAGGACACAGGAATCCTTACCACACACACCCAGCCATGCCCCCTGCCTTTCAAGCGCTCTAAGGTTCCTGTTCCCCCATCACCTGGAGGTGGCTCAGGCTGATTCCCCCAGGATCTCCTTTTCCTGTGCCAGACTGGGCTCAGCTACCATGGCCTTGCTGCCCCCTCCCCCTCCCCACAAGATCTGTCTCAGTCACCCTCTCCTCCTGAGGGTACTCTGGGCCCCTGGCCTCCTCCCGCCAGCCAGCTCCGCTCCCTCCTTCCCTCCCACTGGAGGCCCCCCCATCTCTCTCCTCTCCGTAGTGCTCCCTGGGAGCATCTTTCCTGGGCCTCTTCCAGCTTGCTCCAGCTCTTGCCTTCAGTCTCTCGCCCTCCGTCTTTTTACATCTTTCTCTTCTGCATCTCTCTCCTTGGTGTTTCTCATTTCTTTTTCTCTCTCTCCTCCAAATACCTTCCCAAATTCCCCCCTCAAACCTTCTCTCTCTCTCTCCTCTTTCCCCGTCTCTGTCTCCCCCATTTTCTCTCCCCATCTCTGTCTGCCACATCTTGCTCCCTCCTCCTTCTCCCCATCCCTCTGCCTTCTCTCTCCATTCCTGCCCAGGCCTGACTCCCCCAGCCAGGGAGAGTTGAGGGATGGGGGCTCAGGCCGCAGGCCCCTGCTTCCTGCAGTGGTGAAAATGGCTTGGCCAGGAAGGGGAGAAGGAGGGGGAGGGGGAGATGGGAACACACGGGGTCTGTGGGCCCATTCAAAGGATCATTCATGGACTGGAGAGAGGCAGAGACAAAGAGACCAAGACGCAGAGACACGGCGAGAGCATCCCTAGGCGGAGACACGCAGACAGAGCAGGCTGGGGGAAACCAGGCGCAGGGAGGGAGATGGGGAGAGGGAGACCCCAGTGGACCGCCACACAGCCCCCTCCACCGGCCCAGCTTAGGTCCTACCTGGCTCAGCCCTGGGGCCGTGATGCCTCCATCCAGGGCTCCGAGTGGGGGGCGAACGGCCTTCGGGAGGGGGCGGCGGCCTCTGAGCCCCCGCGGCCCCGCAGGCCCAGCCCCCGCCCGCAGCGCCTCACCCGGCGGGGGAGGGGGATCGCCCCAGCCCCGGGGGGCGGGGCCGGGATCCAGTCGATCCCCGGGAAAAGGAGAGCTAGGGGATGGGATCTGGGGGAGCCCGAAAACAGGGAACCCCGCAGCAGGGACGATACAGCAAAGAGGGGGCAACGGGACAGGACTAGATTGGGGGTCCACTGGTTCCGTGGGCCAGCTTCGAGGGACCAGAAGGCGGTCCAGGCAGAGGATCCTAAGGCTCGGGTGCTGGAGGAGGAGTACACGGCAATCCCCAGGGGCCCGGGGCCCGGGAGCGCAGGATCCGCGGTGCAGGGGCAGGGATCTAGCCGGAATCCTCGGGGAGGGGGAGGGATCTAGTCGATCCCGAGGGCGGGCAGGAGGGGGAGGTCCGGGGAGTCAGAGGAGGGCGGGAGCCGAGTCCAGAGCCCCAGGGCGGGGGTCAGCGCGGCTCCTAGGAGGGAAGGCGGAGGTGAGGGGAGGCTTCGAGGGATGCTCAGCAACCGGGAGGCCCGGACTCCCGGCTCCGCGCGCCAGGGCCCGCCCGCCCCGCGTCCATCCCAGCCCGAGAGTGATGATCCGCCGGCGGAGCAGCCGCAGCAGCCCCGCGCGTCACCGCGCGGCCGCCTCCCCCGCCCCCTGCCGAGAGAGCGGCGCACACCCCCCGCTCGCACCCGCCTGCCCGCCCGCCCTCCGGAGAGTGGGGGGATTGGAGATGGTGGGAGGAGGCGGGAGTGGACAGACGGACAGATGGACGTAGCGGGCCAGGGCAGGGTGGAGACACCCCCCTCCCCCGATCTTCCACCCTCTGGGCTCTCGCGGTCTAGGGAGGGGAGAAAATCTGAACCATAGGGGGCGGGGCATCATGCAAAGAGGGCGGAGCCTTCATACATGGGGAGGAGCCATCTGTGCAGTGGGCGGGGTTTACTGGCAATAGGTGGGGCTTAGGTATCTTTGGGGCCGCCTCTTTTTGGGAGTGGGCTTGATTTGAAGCTGAACAGGAGGAGCCTGTGGGAAAAGGGGCGGAACTTTGAGAGAAGACCGGGATCTTTGGAAATTGGCCGGAGCGATGGGGGGGTGGGGCGTTCGAAGAGGCTATCAACTTGGAAAGTGGGCCAATCCGTGACGCAAATCCGCTAGTCCCGCCCTCAATCCCGCCCCCCACTGCTTAGCTCCTCCGCTCCTAATTGGTGTTGGTTTCTCCGCCCGCCAGACGTCTTCGCCACTCTGCAGCGGTTTTACAAAGGTGGGCGAAGAGCTCAATGCTGAAGTGAACACGCTCCGGATTGGGTGCTTGTGAACCTTATTTGCATGGGCGTCCGGGATTGGCTGGCCTCTTCGGTGGCCTAGGAGGCGTTCGTCCTGTGCGTCCTGTTCTACAGTTATGGCTCGGCCAGCGGCAGCTTTCCGCCGCCTGGGCGCTTTGTCCGGAGCTGCGGCCTTAGGCTTGGCCTCCTACGGCGCTCACGGTCGGGGGCTGGGGACGAAGCTGGGACTGTGCTTGGAGCGTCCTCTGGGGTCTGGTGCATGGGCGGAACCTGTGGGAAGTCCCCGACCTCATGTTTATCTGCCAGCCCGCGGAGCCTTAAGCCTTTTGAAGTCCCCCAGCCGGGTCCAATTGGTTCCCAGTACTGCCCGAGCGTGTTCCCACCAATCGGAAGCTTCCTGGGGGTGGTGCCCTTTCTCGCCAGTGTCCACCTGGATCCCCTCGGATTGGGGGCGGTCGGGGCTGGCACTAGGACCGGTAACCTTTGCTTCTTTTCTCCACAGGCGCCCAATTCCCAGATGCCTACGGAAAGGAGGTGAAGTAACTGCGCTAGGGCTCCCTGACTCGCGGGTCTATGAAGGCAAAAAGTCTGGGGACCATTGGGGAAATGGGCGGGGAGGGGGAGGCGAGCCTCGGATCTCTAGAGCAGCAAATGCCAAAGGCTCTGTAAGCCAAAGGCCTAGGAGCAAGCCGAGACTTCCCGGGTGAGGTGGGGCACGAACTTTGGTCCCTGTATCATCAGGAGATCTCAGGCACCTGCACTGCCTGCTATATCCCTTCGTTTCTCTTTTTCTTACAGCTCTTTGACAAGGCCAACAAGCACCACTTCTTCCACAGCCTGGCCCTGTTAGGGGTGCCCCATTGCAGAAAGCCCCTCTGGGTAATCTTTCCCTGGGCCTAACCCCTCCTCTGGGTAATCTTTTCCTGTGCCTAACCCTGACCAAAACCCACACCCTCCCTCTCAGCCTGCCCTGTTCTTACAATCCTGTTTTCTGTGCCATGTCTCCATCAGGCTGGGTTACTGCTAGCTTCCGGAACGACCTTATTCTGCACCAGCTTTTACTACCAGGCTCTGAGTGGAGACCCCAGCATCCAGACTTTGGCGCCTGCAGGAGGGACCCTGCTACTCTTGGGCTGGCTTGCCTTGGCTCTTTGAGCTTCCTTTTGCTTAATTACTGGGTTTTCTGGGCAGTTTTTAAAAAAACAGTTGGAGTAAGAAGAGGATTAAAAAGGAAAGGCAAATAAACTTTGGTGTCTTTGCTCATCTAACCTCTTGGAGGAGGAGGAAGGGTGGGGATTCAACCTCTGAACTCCCTCCATTTCCTAAGACTTAATCAGTGAGCCTTAGGTCTGGGGATTCTGTCCACTTCAAGTTAACTTGTTATAATGTTCTTACCGTGGTGGGTATCAAAGTCATAAAGAATGCTCGAAATAATGCAGATTCCGCCAGGCTTGGTGGCTCACGCCTGTAATCCAAGCACTTTGGAGGCCAAGGCGGGCGGATCACATGAGGTTGGGAGTTCAAGACCAGCCTGACCAACATGGTGAAACCCTGTCTTAAAAAGAAAAAGAAAAGAAATAATGCAGATTCCTACTGAAGCACTCTTTTGGTCCTGAGAATCTGTATTTTAATAAGCTCATCTTGTGATTCTGATGCTCACTAGGTTTTTTATTTATTTTATTTATTTAGTTACTATTCTTATTTTGAGATGGAGTCTTGCTTTGTCGCCCAGGCTGGAGTGCAGTGGCTCCATTTCAGCTCACTGCAACCTCCACCTCCTGGGTTCAAGTGATTCTCCTGCCTCACCCTCCCAAATAGCTGAGATTACAGGTGCCTGCCACCACACCTGACTAATTTTTGTATTTTTAGTAGAGACGGGCTTCACTATGTTGGCCAGGCTGGTTTCAAACTCCTGACCTCAGGTGATCTGCCTGCCTCAGCCTCTCAAAATGCTAGGGTTACAGGCATGAGCCACCAAGCCCAGTCTGTTTTATTTTTATTTTATCTCTCTATCTATCTATCTGTTTATTTATTGAGATGGAGCTTCATTCTTATTGCCCAGGCTGGAGTGCAATGCTGCGATCTCGGCAGACCACAACCTGCGCCTCCCGGGTTCAAGTGATTCTCTTGCCTCAGTCTCCCGAGTAGCTGGGATTACAGGCATGCGCCACCACACCCGGCTAATTTTGTATTTTTAGTAGAGACGAGGTTTCTCCATGTTGGTCAGGCTGGTCTGGAACTCCCAACCTCGGGTGATCCAGCCACCTCAGTCTCCCAAAGTGCTGGGATTACTGGCGTGAGCAACCCCACCCATCCTATTTTTATTTATTTATTTATTTTGAGGCAAAGTCTCACTGTTTCCCAGGGTGGAGTGCAGCGGCATGAGCTTGGTTAACTGCAACCTTCGCCTCCTCAGTTCAAGTGATTCCCCTGCCTCAGCCTCTCGAGTAGCTGGGATTACAGGCATGTGCCACCATGCCCAGCTAATTTTTGTATTTTTAGTAGAGATGGGGTTTCACCATAATGGCGAAGCTGGTCTTGAACTCCTGACCTCAAGCAATTTACCCACCTCAGGCTCCCAAAGTGCTGAGATTTTTTTAAATTACTATAGGGTCATGGTTTTCAGCCCTGTTGTTACAAAAATTTATCAAGCACCCACTTACTCTACAAGTGAGGATTAAGGCAAGGCAGGAGTGTCCTTAGTTACAAAATACTTTGGGGTTCAAAGCAGGGACAGATCATCATGTTTGGGGATCAGAAAATGTGTCACAGTGCTTGAGATGATCCTTAAAGGAGCTCTATTGTGTGGAAAAAACAATGAACAAAGAACAAGATGGGGAGGAGAGGGGTTTGGAGAAATGCGAGTCTTCAGTGTGGGCTGAGTTTGAGTTAGGCAGGAAAGGAGTGAGAAAGGTTCCAGGGCAGGCTGGAGTGCAGTCACAGCATCTAGAGAACTGGGGCCAGGTGCCATGGCTCACCCATGTAATCCCAGCACTTTGGGAGCCTGAGGCGGGCAGATCATGAGGTCAGGGGTCCGAGACCAGCCTGGCCAGGATGGTGAAACTCCATCTCTAATAAAAATACAAAAATTAGCCAGGCATGGTCACACACACTGGTAGTTCCAGCTACTCGGGAGGCTGAGGCAGGAGAATGCTTGAACCGGGAGGCAGAGGTTGCGGTGAGCTGAGATCACACCACTGCACTCCAGCCTGGGCAACAGAGTGGGACTGTGTCTCAAAAAAAAAACAGATGGCCGCTCATGGTGGCTCACGCCTGTAATCCCAGCACTTTGGGAAGCTGAGGCAGGTGGATCACCTGAGGAGTTTGAGACCAGCCTGGCCAACATGGTGAAATCTTGTCTCTACTAAAAAAAAAAAAAAAAAAAAAAATTAGCCAGACATGCCTGTAATCCCAGCTAGTTGGGAGGCTAAGGCTGGAAAATCTCTTGAACCTGAGAGGCAGAGGTTGCAATAAGCCGAGAATGTGCTATTGCACTTCAGCCTGGGCGGCTGAACAATACTCTGTCTCAAATAAATAAATAAACAAATAAAAAATTAGCCTGATGTGGTGGTTCACTCCTGTAATCCCAGCTACTCAGGAGGCTGAGGCAGGAGAATTGCTTGAACCCGGGAGGCAAAGGTTGTGGTGAGCTGAGATCATGCAACTGAACTCCAGCCTGGGCAACAGAGTGAGACTCAAAAAAAAAAAAAAAGAGAGAGAGAGAGATGAAATGGGGTCTCACCATGTTGGTTGCCTAGGCTAGCCTCAAACTGCTAGGCCCAAGCAATCCTCCTGCCTCAGCCTCCTACCCAGTTACTTGGGAGGCTAAAGTGGGAGGACAGCTACAGCCCAGGCATTCAAGACCGGCCCGGGCAATACAGTGAGAAGCTGTGTCTAAAATCATTAAAATAGTGTGATGGCATTTGCCTGTAGTCCCAGTGCTCGGCAGGCTGAGGCACGAGAATAGCTTGAGCCTAGGAGTTTTTTTGTTTTTGTTTTTGTTTGAGATGGAGTCTCGCTCTGTTGCCCAGGCTGGAGTGTAGTGGCATGATCTCAGCTCATTGCAGCCTCCGCCTCCCAAGTTCAAGCAATTCTTATGCCTCAGCCTCCTGAGTAGCTGGTCTTACAGGCATGTGCCACCATGCCCAAGCTAATTTTGTATTTTTGGTAGAGATGGGGTTTTTCCATGTTGGTCAGGCTGGTCTCGAACTCCTAACCTCAGGTGATCCACCCACCTCGACCTCCCAAAGTGCTGGGATTACAGGCGTGAGCCACCACACCCTGTCTGACTAATCTTTAAAATGAAGAAATATTGTGATCTACGAGTGTACCCTCAATTATACCACCTCCTTGTATATAAATGCTTCAGTAGCTCCCCATTCCCCTCAGAAGACAGTCCAGTGTCTCAGCACAAGGCCCTCCACCATTTGGCCCTGTCCTTGTCTCTCTGCTGACCTTCTCCCAATCCTCAGGCCAGCCCCTAGGAATTCTTCAGGTCTCTAATACTCTCTGTTGCTTCAGGGGAGCCTTGAAAGCTGCTGTTACAGGATTCAGGAGCTCAGTAGACCCCCATGTTGGTGATAGAAATTCTGGAATTAAAAGTATGCAGATTGTATTTAGAGATACGGAATGAGATGAAATTACCTAAAATCTTCTCATATAGAGAAAGAATCTGCACACTTTTAAAAATGCATACCTTTAGGCGGGGCGCAGTGGCTCTGCCTGTAGTCCCAGCACCTGTAATCCTGGGAGGCAAAGGCAGGTGGATAACATGAGTTGAGGAGTTCCAGACCAGCCTGGCCAACATGGCGAAACACTGTCTCTACTAAAAATACAAAAATTAGCCAGCGAGGTGGTGTGTGCCTGTAATCCCAGCTACTTGGGTGGCTGAGGCATGAGGATCACTTGAACCCAGGAGGCGGAGGTGGCAGTGAGCCGAGATCGCGTCACTGCCCTCCAGCCTGGGTGACAGAGCAAGACCCTGTCTCAAAAAATAAAAAATAAAATGCACACCTCCAGAAAAATTAAGTATGCCCTCAAAATATTATACAGATTGTACTTTATAAAGCATACACAAAAATAGAAATTAAAAATGAAGACAGCTGGATGTGGTGGTGTGTGCCTGTAGTCCCACCTACTCAGGAGGCTGGGGCAGAAGGATCGCTTGAGGCTAGGAGTTTGAGACAAGTGTGCTAAGATCAAGCCTGTGAATAGCCACTGTATTCCAGCCTGGACAACATAGCAAGACCCCATCTCAAAAAAAAGAATGAGTGACTTAAACTTTTCAATGACTTACTATTGCATTGCAAATAGATTCCAAGTGCCATCCCACTGCCTGAAAGGCCTGCACTGGCCATCCGGGCCTTGTGACTCTTTGTCACTACGTGGCATCTGCATTTCCAACCCACCACATTTTTTCTGCCTCAAGATTTTGAGCTGCTCTTTTCAGCCTGTTTTGCCAGTTATTCTTTGTGCCTAGAATACACTTCTCCACTTCATGCATAGTTAGCTCAGCTTCAATAGGATCACCTTGGTGAGGCCTTCTAAATCTAAAGGGGTGCACCCTCCACCATCCAGCTGGTCACTGCCTCTCTGTTCTTTTTCGTTTTGTTTGAGACAGGGTCTCATGTTGTCACCCAGTTGGAGTGCAGTGGAGCCATAAGAACCTGCTGCAGTCTCTATTTCCCCAGCTCAAGCAATTCTGTCACCTTGGCCTCCTGAGTAGCTGGGACTACAGATGTGTGCTACCATGCCTGGCTAATATTTAATTATTTTGTAGAGATGGGGTCTCATCAGGCACGGTGGCTCACACCTGTAATCCCCACACTTTGGGAGGCTTGAGGGGGGCAGATCACAAGGTAAGGAGTTTGAGACCAGCCTGGCCAGCATGCTGAAACCCTGTCGCTACCAAAAATACAAAAATTAGCCGGGCATGGTGGTGTGCACCTGTGGTCCCAGCTACTCAGGAGGTTGAGGCAGAAAAGTTGCTTGAACCCAGGAGGCAGAGGTTGCCGTAAGCCGAGATCATATCACTGCACTGCAGTGTGGGCGACACAGCGAGACTCCATCTCAAAAACAAAAAACAGATGAGATGTGATCTCACCATGTTGGTTGCCTAGGCTAGTCTCAAACTGCTAGGCCCAAGCAATCCTCCTGCCTCAGCCTCCTACCCAGTTACTTGGGAGGCTAAAGTGGGAGGACAGCTACACCCCATGCAGTCAAGACTGGCCCGGGCAACATAGTGAGATGCCGTCTAAAATAACTAAAATAATGTCATGGCGTTTGCCTGTAGTCCCAGTGCTCGGGAGGCTGAGGCATGAGGATAACTTGAACCTAGGAGTTTTGTTTTTGTTTTTGTTTTTGTTTGAGACGGAGTCTTGCTCTGTTGCCCAGGCTGGAGTGCAGTGGTGCGATCTCAGCAAACTGTAGCCTTTGTCTCCCAGGTGATTCCCAAGTGATTCTCATGCCTCAGCCTCCCAAGTAGGTGGGATTACAGGCATGTGCCACCATGCCCAGGTAATTTTTTTGTAGAGATGGAGTTTCACTGTGTTGGCCAGGCTGGTCTCAAACTCCTGACCTTCAGTGATCTAACTGCCTCAGCCTCTCAAAGTGCTGGGATTAGAGTTGTGAGCCACTGTGCCCGGCCAAGCCTAGGAGTTTGAGGCTATAGTGATCTCTGATGGTGCCATTGCACTCCAACCTGAGTGACAGAGTGAGAACTCAGTCTCATAGATGAATAAATAGGCTGGGTGTAATGGCTCACACCTGTAATCTCAGCACTTTGGGAGGCTGAGGCAGGTGGATCACTGGAGCCCAGGAGTTCAAGACCAGCCTGCACAACCTGGCCAAACCTCATCTCTACAAAAAAATAGAAAAATTAGCTGGGCCTGGTGGCACACACCTGTCTTCCCAGCTACTCGGGAGGCTGAGGTGGGAGAGTGCTTTGACTAGGAAGCAGAAGTTACGAGTGGAGATCATGCCACTGCACTCTAGCCTGGGCAACAGACCAAGACCCTGTCTCAGTAAATAAATAAGGCCTCAAAGGGGAACTCTAGAGTGGCCCAAAGGGGCTAGGTACAGTGGCTCACACCTGTAATCCCAGCGCTTTGGGAGGCCAAGGTGGCAGGATCACTTGAGACCAAGAGTTTAAGACCAGCCTGGCCAACAACCCCTTTTCCACTAAAAATACAAAAATGAGCTGGGCATGGTGGCAGTAGTCCCAGCTACTTGGGCGGCTGAGGCAGAAGAATTGCTTGAGTCTTGGAGGTAGAGGTTGTAGTGAGCCAAGATCACACCACTGCACTCCAGCCTCGCTGACAGAGCGAGATTCAAAAAAACCCGAAAAACCAGAGTGATCTAAAGGTCCAGTGGCAGAGCCAAGGCTGGGTCCCCAGGCTCCTACCTTCCAGTCCAGTGCTCTGACTGCATTTCCATCCTTCATCTCAGAGGGCATCTTCATCTGGCCTTCTATGATCTCTCTGACCTTCCCCTCATTAACTCCATTCCAGCCTTGTGGGTCTTCTGCCTCAGGACCTTTGTCCCTGCTGTTCCCTCTGCCTGAAGCACTTAACAAGTCATCTGCACAGCTTGGTTCCTCACCTCCTTTAGGTTCTTGCTCAACTACTGCCTTCTTGGTGATGCCTTCCTAGCCTGCCCTCTTTTATTTATTTATTTTGAGATGGAGTCTTGCTCTTGTTGCCCAGGCTGGAGTGCAATGGCACGATCTCAGCTCACTGCAACCTGTGCCTCGTGGGTTCAAGAGAATCTTCTGCCTCAGCCTCTGGAGTAGCTGGGAATACAGGCGCCCGCCACCAAGCCTGGCTAATTTTTGTATTTATTATTTTTTTATTTTTATTATTTTTGAGACAGAATTTTGCTCTTGTTGCCCAGGCTGGAGTGCAACGGCGTCATCTTGGCTCACCACAACCTCTGCCTCCGGGGTTCAAGTGATTCTCCTGCCTCAGCCTCCCGAGTAGCTGGGATTACAGGCATGCGCCACGATGCCCGGCTAATTTTGTATTTTTAGTAGAGACGGGATTTATCCGTGTTGGTCAGACTGGTCTCAAACTCCAGACCTCAGGTGATCTGCCTGCCTGGGC